TGACCTTTCCCTGAAGTTCCTCGAGAACGCCCTTGCCCTGACCTCCAAATATCAGGGACCCTCATCTCTCAAACTGGCACAAAGGTGAAGAGTCAACAGAAACACAAACACATCCAGCACTCATCAATTCTGAACATGACAACAACAAAAAAACATAAATTAAAAATGTTTTATTATCCCTCTTTGCAGTCATCACTTGTTGGCAAAGGTGCATGAAAGTAAAGGAGATTTCCGTGCTGCACTGACACATGAAAAGGAGCGTTATGGCATATACAGGAAGCAGGTGAATGATTACAGTCCCAAAAATGATGAGCAGATTCGTTCTAGTCTAAAATCTATGCTGTGTCCAAAACCGCTCCCTATCCACTATATAGTGCACTATATCTGGTGTCAGCCATTTTGTAGTGCTGTCCGAATTCTGAGTGAACGACTTCATTCCCTACATTCGTCCACTACTTTTTACCCACAATGCATTCTGATTTCGATTGTACAACCAATGTACACTTTAATATTTTACTAATTTACTGAGGTGGCATCGTTGTTAACTTACAAAAATTATGATAATTTGGTGGATAATTAAAGAATGTTCGTTAATCACAGTAGGTAGCGTATTCATTCTGATGTAAAATTAACGGTCGCCTGAGGGCACTCTATGACCATTATCTTATCTGAGCTGAAAACGCTGCTCGGGAGAGTGTGTATAATTACAATATAAAGTCATTTTGAGTGTTATTGCTGAGGGGCGGGGGCAGCAGAGCTCATTAACATTTAAAGGAAAATGCTACAAAAACGGCTTGATCTGAAAAGAGCTGTTTTTGACAGGGTAAAAAAAAAGGTGTTTTTTACACTACCATTGAGAAATTTTAACCAAACTATGTTACAGACTTTTCATTAAGACCCTAAAGGATCATGTCAACTTGTGGAAAATGGGCATCCTATGACCCCATAGTGCACTCAACTGCCATACACTATATAGGGATTAGTGAACGAGTGAGCGATTTCGGACACGGCTCTAGTCTAGATATTCATAAATGCTGTTTTAATAGGTCGGAGAAGCACATGAGAAGACCCAAGAAAGTTCAGAGTACCTAAAGCATCTGACACATCAAGCAGTGATTCTACAGAAAACTATGAACTGGATCTACAAAACTGGCTCAGACACCAATATCCCCCCTTTCAATGTTAGTACTGTACAAAGCATAGAGAATACATGTGTCTTAGTTGATGCATGGTATAATAATGATTGATTGAAGGAATTAATAATGCTGTCTTTGGCTTTGCTTCTTCATCCTCATATAGCTGAACTCTCCAAGTCGTGTCTGGATAATGGAGCAGCTAAATCTTGTCACTGGGATTGTCCTGATTCCTCTTAGGTAAGAGAGATCTGAGTCTTATTCAATAACTTACTTTTTGTTATATGAACTTCATATATAATGATGGTCACATTAAAATACTCTCTTTGCATTTCTCTTTCTCATGCATCCACTTTTTTATACCCTGAAGTAACAGAGACCTTGAGAAACTCAGGACTGATGCTCAGAAAACATCTCGGCTCACACGAAATAATGTTCAGCCCGTGGAGGATCTGCAGGGGCTGTTTGAGGAGCACAACACATCACAAGCTATTACTCAACAGGACTAGCGCCTTGTAATTTAAAGGGGTCATATGATGCGATTTCAATTTTTCCTTTCTCTTTGGAGTGTTACAAGCTCTTGGTGCATAAAGAAGATCTGTAAAGTTGCAAAGACTAAAGTATCAAATCCAAAGAGATA